TGCTTTAAACTTGTTCTGTTTTACTTCAATACTTACAAAATAAAATACAAAAAAAAAAAGAAATTATCAAGATAATGTTAAGATTAGCATAGATGCATCGATGGTCAAAGTATTTGTTGTTATAAAGTATTTGTTGTATAAAGTATTTGTTGTTACAGGTGCATCAATTATACAAGTTATGTTGGTAATTGGAACCCAACACTTGTCTACTCTAGATGGCCAGAAAAGTTAATTAAAAGGACCGTGCAGGTGCATAAACGTTACCATAACATCTTGCTCTATATTATCAATTTCATTGATCATACCAATCCAATCAAACGCATCATATTTACACATAATGAATTCACCAAATTTCAAAACATCAATGTTAATTTGCTGATCATTTTAAGAACTTTGAATACCAGAAAAAAAAAAATGCCTGTTATACGAACATCTTCACTTGTTCGTTTAAAGCTAATAGTATCTATAGATTCTGGTTTAAATTGATGATAGCTCCTAGTTCTACTTAGCTCAAAACGTGTTTTCAAAATGTTTTCAAAACGTGTTTTCAAAGTGCGCAATTCTGTCAGTCTTTCTTTTTCAATCTTAAAAAAAATAATATTGTTTAATATTGTTAGTACAATAGTCAAACATTTTGTTACAATTCAATATCTGGTCATAAAGATATTATGGGCCTTTGTAGACTTGCATTTGTAGTTAATCGTTTTACAGTGCCACCAATACCATCACATGATGACTTACCATGACTTGTAGCAAAAAATGTCCACTCTGCATCAATGTCAAAATCATTTTTTTTGACATCGGAGACAGATATTGTATAGGTTTTTGTGGTTTTTATACTGTGCAGCACAACCATCAGAAAAATAAAGAATCTTTGAAATTTTAGGATGATATTCTTTTAAATAGTTAACTATTTGTGTTTGAACTTCATACACAAAACCAGTGTCATGCTCATTATCTTCTGACATAAAAACAAAACAATTTTTCTTCAAGTTGGTCATTTTCATTTAATAAATAGAGGGCAACGGGGTGCACTGTGCATTGACTTTGTGCATTGAATCATAAAAGTGAAGTTTTCTGCAAAGTCACCCAAGACAATACAGCAGTCTTTAGCTAAATTTTCTTTTTGTTGCTTTAGGTATCTTGCTTGATATTTTGCAATCTAGGAATGAGTTGGTAACTTGCCTCTGATAACATCAATTTGTATTCTTCAATTGTTGTTGTCTGATAGATCAATATTGTTCTGTCTGTTTTCTGCCACTAATTGAATGACACCTCCTCGTCATTGTCATTGTCAATTAGTTGTGCATCCAGAAACTTCTTTAAAGAAACTATACCTGGACAGTTCAGACATCGATGAACCATGCACTCGTTACTTGTCACATCACAAACAACTTTTGTCATCAGATCTTTGTAAGTACATTTCATTTGTATAGCATTGGTCAAGAGTATTGCATTTTGATGGAGGGTACATATACAAACAGAATGAGTGCCTGATGCTCCAACAGTTATACACCATTTTGGTCTTAAACTGCAAAACTTAGAAAAATCCAATATTTTCTTGAGGATATTTAGTTTTAAAAGAAACATAAAGTTCTTTAAGATTACATAAAATAAGGCGCTTTTACATGTGTTGTTTTCTACCAATACTTTTGTAATCTTTTTTACCAGGCATTTGTCTAGTAAATTCTTCATCATGGTATATATTGTTGACTCTATTTAATGTTATTTCTGAAAATTTTTCTTTCTTAGTACTTGGAGCTGAAAAAATCCCACTTATTTTTTTTAGTTTGCGGGCTTCTTTAATTTGGTATATAGTGACGTTGAAATATCTTGCAGCAAAATTTCTTGACCAAGACTCGGGTGTTAATATTAACAACTGAATTTTAGTTTTTTGGTCAGAAACAATTAACTTTTCTTTTATTTCTGCTGTTAGTTTGTCTAGATCATTGCATTTTCTTTTGTCAATAATTTTCGTATGAGGAATTTTATGTTTCAGTTCTTCTTTCCTCACATTACATACTTTTGAAATATGCTCCTCATACTTTGACATTGTTTTTATAACTTTACTTTTAGCAACACATAACCGTTGATGCTTTGGAATGCCATAAAGTTTTATGGGGGATACACCTATTGTTTCCAAACTAACATTTAATGCATCTCGAGACTTTTCAGAAGTAGCACATGAAATAAATTCCTCAAATTCACAATTATCTTGTTCATGAAATATACTGATTATAGCATCAAAGCAGCTCCTACAAAGTTGATATCCAGGCACAACATTTGAAAAATTAATTCTCAATTGGTTTGCCATGTCTAATGTTGTTACTTGACTCCCTGAAATGAAAAGAACAAAATGTGTACCAAAAATGTGATGAAGACAGATTGTTAAAATTTTATCATCTGTTATTCCAGATCTCCAAATAAATTCTTCTCTGGCATCTTCTCTATAGCAATCAAATTTGTTTAAATCAATCTTTCTACAATAACTTAGTTTATGACATTTAACTTTTTTTCTAAAATCACATGAATCCATTCTTACTGTAACACTAAAAACATTTTAAAATTAATTTAAAAATGAGAAACCAATAGTAATTAATTTAATGAAAGCAACTAAGCAATCACCATGGTAATACAAAACTAAACAGTAATTGATTTCTTTTATGTTTGACAAAAAAAAAGTTCCTTTTCACAAAGTTTAATTATAATCAATTTGTTAATGTAGGTAACAAAATTCATCTATACTAGTGTAATGACAGGATGTTTTTTGTTACTGTGGATAGTTCTTATTTAATAAAACAACTTGCTGTTAATATTTTAGAATTAGCAAATATTAAATAAAATAACGATTTTAAACAGGCGATAAATTTCTTTTTTATTGATGTAATGTTATGACAGAATGTTTTTTTTTTCTGTTGGAAGTTAATTAAACAACTTGCTGTTACCATTTTAGCATTAAAATAGATTAATCTTTTTTAATTAAAATTTTAAATTATACAAAATAAAATTCTCTTAACATCATTATTTTAGACTGTTTTAAATCTTATACATGCAAATCAAAATTCTTATAAACATTAACTTTCTTAAAACATTTTAAGAAAGATCATTGAACATAGAATAGTCAAAAACCAAATGGAACAAATATAAATCACAAAAAATGTTTAACGTTGTTAAAAATAAAAATCTAAAAAAAAATTTTGAAGACAATAGTTTCAAAGTTATCTTAAGTTTTTTTAGTTTCAAAGTTATCTTAAATTTTTTTTCAAATAGTTTCAAAGTTATTTTAAATTTTTTTGAGAAAATAAGTGGGGCATAGTCCCTGGTGCCCCAGCCCTATGGACCTTCTGATCGTCTGACCTGAAACAATTTCAATGCATGTTCATCAGGACTAAACAAATGCTGAAAGTTTCAAAGCTCCAGCTTGTCTGGAAGATACTGAAAAATTCACCTCAAGATTCCGGTCAAAAAAGTGGGGCACATCCCTCTAGCCCCCTCCCCTTGTGTCTTGGGCCCTTTTTTAATTTTAAAATGCATGTTTATTGACACTACATAAATATAAGTTTTTATTGCTCCAGCTAGTCTGAAAGGTAGTGAAAAATGTATGGCAAAATTCTGCTACAAAATAGTGGGGCCTGTGCCCCATTATCCATATATGGAAATCCATATACTTGTAGATCAAAATTCTTATGTTTTCTGAAAGATCATTAAACATAGAATAATGTGTACAATTTTTTTTTTTATATCATCAAGGCTGTATGGCTTTCTTGAGCATCAAAATCAGGTATATAAAAAATTGCCTAATTTTATTTAAATTGATAATTACAAGTACTTAAAAATATTTTTTTACATTTCTGATTATTTCATTGGATTCTTCAACCCTGAAAATAGCCAGGTACAAAAGTCAAAAGATCAAATATTCTAAAGCTATGTGACTTGGAACCTTTAAACAAAGGTCAAATTTCTAAGGGGACAAGAGGGGTCTGGCCAAGATCACTTAAAAGTAAAATGAACATATTTGATGATCCTTTTTTGAGCTAGAAGCTAAAAATTTTAAGGATTTCTTGTTTTACTAAGTACTCTCAACTGTATAAAAATCAGCAAAATCTAAGATAAATGGTGACATTTTTGAAATTTTCTGGCTCAATTGATATGGAGTACTCAGTATCTAATTTGTACATATTTATTATTTGCTTTCTTGATACAATTGAAACACTTTTAAGCTCTTTTTAAGCAGTTAAATACTTTATATATTGCAAACATCAAAAATGATTATATCTTGGATTTTAGATGTTGCTGTATATAAGAATTGATTATATTATCAATTAGAACAATTTTAATTTCTACATGTCATGCCCAACTTGATGAATCTACAGATGCTTAATCAGGGGAGCTTTCTCAAAATGGAAAACCATTCATTTGGGTGTTGTCGAAATTTTATTCAACTTTTTTAACACTTTTTTCTTTCTAGTTATTCTTAAAATAATGTTTTTTTTTTAGCTTTCTTAACTATCTGTTTATTGATTTTTTTTTAAAGATTAGTTAATAAATAATAATAATAATAATAATAATAATAATAATAATAATAATAATAATAATAATAATAATAATAAAAGTGCCTCTTTATAGTTTTTTTTTGATATTGCTCACAAAATATATTTATTTGAAAAAATTTGTACTCGTCCAAATTTCATTGTACCACTCTACGACAAATAAAATTTGAAATGTTGCTTAAACCATAAAATAAGGAAAAATTATTTCATAAAAATGTTTCTTCATTAAATAATTCCATACCATTATTCTGTTTAATAATCATTTCATTCATCTGAGTTGAAAACAAAGATATTAGATTTTGGTATTTTAATAGAACAAAAATGGTTAAATTATATTTTTCTTTTTTAAAAGTAATTTAAAAAGAGATTTTTTATAATTCACTAGTTGAAAATTTAAACTTTTACTTGATATTTTACAACCAAGTTTTATTTTAACAAATTATTTAATAGGGAGCTTGATTGTTGAAAAAGTGAATGTGAAAAGATATATTGCTGGTAAAAAGTAAGTTTTTAAAATTTTTTGATAAAGTTTGATCTATGATTTAGTTAAATATTGTATTTTTTTAATGTTATCCTCCAATCTTTAATTTAGCTATATATATATATATATATATATATATATATATATATATATATATATATATATATATATATATATATATATATATATATATATATATATATATATATATGTATATATATATATATATATATATATATATATATATATATATATATATATATATATATATATATGATATATATATATATATATATATATATATATATATATATATATATATATATATATATATATATATATATGATATATATATATATATATATATATATATATATATATATATATATATATATATATATATATATATATATATATATATGTATATATATATATATATATAGCCTGCTGCCGGGGGCTTCAGTACATACATCGACTGACAAATAGCCTGACTCGCCGTGGAGTGCTGCTACATCGACTGAGGGTTTGGTATGGGTCAGCAACATTTTCATTCATTATTCTTCGTTTTCCCTCATCGTTTTCTAAAAATGCTCACTTAATTTAGGCTAGCAAAAAAAGTGAGCAATTGCGCATATAAATATGCTATAGTAGATATATATATATATATATATATATATATATATATATATATATATATATATATATATATATATATACACACACACACAGGGCTCAATTTAACGGTCGAATATTGTCCGGCTTAAACCTCAGATTTTCCGAATAATTTACTAAGTCATCAGAAATTTTGATCGATTATTTTGTAAGCTTGGACAGGAATGGCGTGTGATCAAACGCTATTTCTGACCTTGCACATGATTTTTTGTTTACAACTTGACCACGACTGTTTAGATGTTTTGATGATTTAAATATTTCAGAAAAAAAGAAACCTTAAGCTAAACTTAAACTAGGAAAAAAATTAAAAAAACTAAAGAACAAGCAAAAACTTTTCCTTAGGAAAAATAAAATTAATTAGCTTTAAAATAAAGCTAGAAGAACTCGAAATTAAAATTACTTTTTAATACGTTTTTAATTGCATTTGAGAAAAATTACTTTAAAACTCATCTTTTAAAACGTTCAATTAAAGTTATGCAAAACGCTTTTACAAATTACTTCTATTGATTGTTTATTAAATAAACAAATTTTTTTTTAAATTATTGAAAAGTGAAATTAAATTATTGAAAAGAAGAAAACATGTAATATTTTTAAATTGTATAAATTTTTTTTTCAAAAAGTTGCAAAAAAAATTGATTAAAAAAATAATGTAGTCTTTTGAAATTCGTAATTTTTGATTTTTAATTAGTAAGTCAAATAAAAAAAAATTAAACTGTATTGTAAAAATTGAAACAAAAAATAATCAAGCAATTAAAGGGACTACCAAGTCCCGAGACATGTTGTGCTCATATTAAAGAGAATGTTCAAAAAAAAAAAATGTCTGAGCAAATTTTCTTTGATTAAAACTAATTAATAAATGTATACCAAGAAAAACAAATCTTGTTGTTTTAGTCGAAGCTCGTCTTCTCCATTTTCTCTGGTATTTTGAGTATGTAAAATAAACGCAATTTTCCAGGCGCATTATACAGACTTGATAATTTATTCAAGCGTGTTTAATTCATAGGAGTTTTAGTGCATGACGTCATAGATTTTTTTTGTTTGTTTAGAACACCTATTGTTATTTTTTACATACAATTTCCAAATCATATTCATTTTTATTATATTTTAAAGTTCTAAAATGTGTTTGTAAAACAAAATTAAAAACAAAATAAAATTAAAAACAAAAATAAAATTAAAAACAAAAATAAAATTAAAAACAAAAATAAAATAAAAAACAAAATAGTATTTTATTTGCGCAACTTTTTTTAAATAATCGTCTAGACCACGTGTATTTTGATTTCTTTTGTTATAAGTTTTTCTTTCAAAATATTAGATAAAAATTTTTTTAACCTAATTAATAATGCACTTTTATTAATTTACTTTGTAAATATTAAAAAAAAAATTATTAACACATTTTTTCTTTGATTTTCAAAAATGTATTTTTTTGTATTGAGTTGATCTTATTTCATTATTTATATTTCCATTATAACATCCAATATATATTATGGCGGGGGCTTAAAAATTAAAATATTAATATATTAATTTTTATTTTACAGACATACATAGAAACATAATTAACTTGCATGTTCTTAAAACATCTTAAAAGAATATTTGCAAACACTAAAAACCCGCCAAATTTGCGAACAAACTAATTCTATTGGTTCAAAAAACACGCTGACTAAGCGAAATAAAGTTCTAGAGTATTCTGTTGAAATGTTTTAGGAATTGTATTATTTACGATTTGTTGCGTTTTGAGATATCTAGCATAACTTTTTTTAAGAATATATTATCAAATGAACTATTACGTTAATATTATGGCTCATTCTTGGAGCCACATCTGTAAAGATGTAAAACTTTTAAACTATTATCATTTGTTTACAAAAATAAATGTTTTATAGTATATATTTTTTAAATTGTCAAAATTTTAAAAGTTAATTACAAATTATATATTTTATTAGTATATTCTTAATTTTTATATCTTTTCTTAGTGCTTGGATTAATTATTTGTTCGTTAGATTTGTAAAAAACTAACGAACAATTAATAAAATAAACTTTTAATAAAATAAGTAACTATAGTTACCTATTTGAGTAAAATTTAAAAGTAAAATTATTAAAGAAATTCTAGAATGTTTCCAATGACGTCATACTCTAAAACTCCTATGAATTAAACGCGCTTGAATAAATTATCAAGTCTGTATAATGCGCCTGGAAAATCGCGTTTATTTTACATACTCAAAATACCAGAGAAAACGGAGAAAACAAGCTTTGACTAAAACAACAAGATTTGTTTTTTCTTGGTATACATTTATTAATTAGTTTTAATCAAATAAAATTTGCTCAGACGTTTTTTTTGAACATTCTCTTTAATATGAACACAACATGTCTCATGACTTGGTAGTCCCTTTAAATCATGGGAAAATTTAATTTAGCTTATTTAGAATTTAAAGTAACTTAAAAAAAAAATTATTTTAAAAGATTTTTAAAAAGACCCGGAAAAATAGTTTCAAGCATTTAAATTTATCATAAAAAAACATACCTACTTAAAAAAAAATATAACATTTAATTTAAATGTTATATTTAATTTTTTTTTATTTATATTTAATTTAAATGTTATATTTAGTTTTTTTTAGTAGGTATGTTTTTTTATGATAAATTTAAATGTTTGAGTTTAGTTACAATTTAGTGTTGTATATTTTTTATGATAAATTTAAATGTTTGAGTTTAGTTTCATGTTAGTGTTGTATATTTTTTATGATAAGTTTAAATGTTTGAGTTTAGTTTCAATTTAGTGTTGTATATTTTTTTTAAATAGACTTTAATTTTCAAGCAATAAACAATACTTTTAAAAACTTTGGCATATAAAATTCGCCGAATGGTCACTCACGAGCAGTGAACGCCTGAGGGAAGAAATGAAGTACATTAGAATAAAGGAGAATTATTTATTAGACAAAGCATATTTTGACAGTTATCAAGACAAAAATAAAGATTAATAGAGGAATATTTAAAAATAAATAAGACAAGTTATACAACCAAAACAGTACTCAACCATAATAACAATAAAAAAAAAATTAAAAAAAATTAAAAACAAATAATAACAAATAATAATAAAATATATATATATATATATATATATATATATATATATATATATATATATATATATATATATATATATAAATAAAAAATTAAAAATAAAAAAAAAATGTTTTATAATTACCAATATGAGCTAAAATATACAAGAAATACATAACCAGTCAAAAATTTGTAAAACAAAAAACTATTCAACAAATTAAAAATATGCTAACGACAATGAAAGGACTAATAATGGAAAAAAAAAACATTATTGGTAATGTGTAAACATAATTAGTGTAGTGATAAGTAATAAACATCTCCTCAGAGTCGCGTCTATTATTACTGGCGTTTCGATGAGGATCAGCATTTATAACTAGTTTATCCCGTCAGACAAACGTCATCGCCACTTATGCTTTACCATGCGACTTACGCCTATTCCATACTGCAGTAAAAAAGGACTCACTACAAATAGCCAAAACTAAAATTCTAATAGAAACATAAAAATATTAATCAATTTATTTTAAGAAATAAAACCAAATAGGTATTATTAGCATAAACAAGCCCAAGATAATCAGAAAGCAGTATACCTCATTAAAAATTTTTTTTAATAAACAAAACAATACCCTTAAATAAACTCTAACGCTGTCATAGATACCTCATTTGAAATATGATAACCAATCAAAAGTGTAGGAAAATGAGTAATCCGCGAAACCCAAAATCATAACAATAGAATAATATATGATAGCGAAAAAGAACGTTGCACAAAAACCTTAAAAATGTAAGCGACATATGTGTAAACATTTATATGTAAATTAAATGATTTAATTTACACATAATGAGTTTATTTTAAACAATCATTACAATTTTTGATTTTATTTGAAGCTCTTGCGTAAAATAAGAATTTTAAAAAAGATCAACGATTTAAAATTATTCGTAACATAATGATTTTTTTATTGCATTAAATTTAAATTAATTGATTTAATTTAAAAAAGATCAACGATTTAAAGTTTTTCGTAATATAAAGATTTTTTTATTGCCTTTAAGTTGTTAAAACATCAAAATAGCCGTTGTCAAATTGAAAAGAAAAAAATACTAAGCATTGTTTGTTACAGCATGAAAATTTAAGTCTATTTGAAAAAACATACAAAATTAAATTACAACTATTTTATTAAAAAATAACAATCTGTGATGAAATATTCTAAATAATAAGGAAAGAAAATCCAACTTCACTAGACTAATGTTAAATAAGCTGAATAACTTGAAAAAGATTTTGATTGCATAACTCGGTTTTGTAAAAC